GGCGCAGCTGTCGGAGTTGCAGGAGACCGTGGAGTACGACGATGAATCATTCGGGTCGAATATCGGCGCTTTCTGCTTGTAACAGCTTACGCAGGGTTTGCATTGCGTCCATGTCAGGTCGCTGCCTGTGTCGGCGATGGCGAGGATCTTGAACTGTGGTGTTCCGACGTTTATCGTCATCAAGTATTCGAAGTTGTTGGGTATGACTTCGGAGTCGAACGAGGAGTTACCCCCTTCGGCTTTTGACGGAAAGGCCGCCGTAGATAAAAAGTTCGCTCGGGTGATCGACCGATGAGCGGCAGCTCGGAGGTAGTAGGGGGAGTTTGGGGAGTCTCTGTGCATGAGATCAATGGAGAAGCCTCCACTGCTGTAAACAAAATGAGGAAGAGCAGAGGAGAGAAGAAACAGGAGGGAGGAGAGAATGGGGGAGGCCATTGTGATTAAAATTTGATTTGGGTGATTATTTGAGGATTAAGGGTTTTGATTATTTATAGAGTTGATTGATTAGGGGGAGAACGTTTGCGTTTATAGAATGTGAAATGATAGGGCGGGTGCATGAGGATTGATTCATGCATCGTGGAGGGCAAGATGCTGAATTTTTACTTTATTTTTGGGAGGTTTTTTTTAATGGGAGGTTTAATGGGATTTGGCCGTATTTTTATAATTGAATGCGTATGATAACGGAGGGTCTAATAGGGAAGACAATTTTTGACTTCCTTAAATTTGAGATTTTTAATCTAATTTTTCCATGTTTGTCTTCATTTCTCAAATTAATTTTGTGACAAATGGAACAAAGTTGACTAATAAACAAATTCAAACGCATGGTTAAACAAATTCTAGCAACATCCGAACTTACAAGGAATGGCGCTTAATTCTTAATTTGGATTGCATTCAGGTTGTCTATTGAGGTGTGAATCCAAATATATTGTAATTGTAAAAAATATAAATAAATGTAAACGTGTATCATCTAAAGTAAGGCATTTATTGAAGATGTGCTAATTAGAAGAAGTCTAACACGGTAGGAAATTTTTAAGATTCAGTGAGTATTTAATAGTGGAAGTTTTTAAGACAATGCAGTTAATGTTATTTATTCAACACATTTATTAAAATTTTAAGGCATAGTGGATTTTATACAGTTGGACTCTTGAGAGCTTACCAGTTTAAGGAGAATTATGTCGACATAATATACAATCTCAATTTAGCGGACAGCATAGAAGATTTAACAATTGAAGGGATTATAATTATAATTAATATGTTAAGTTTTTGGTAAAATTAAGGGCGGCTGCGCTTAGATTTATTATAGCTGCATGTTATTGTCCAAGTAATCAGTATATAGAAATAACAATAAGATATCAGGACATGTTTTTTTAAAAAAAATATATTAGAAAACCATTACTTACAGGGCTGGAAATTGCATTTTGAAGTGATATCCAGGCTATTAGCAATCTGATCCAATCCTGCTCCCTCTCTGATGAAGAAAAAGGAAATGATGCTAATGAATATTAAGATAATTACATGCTGTAAGCAGACATTGGACGATTCATAGGAAAGAATTTGAACATATGAAACCTAAGCAACCAACAATAAGTAATCCTGACTTCACGTAATCATCAAAGACGGGCTAATGATTGTAACAAAATGTTGTGAACAGGGTAATTCTTCAATCTTCAAGTCAATACTTTCACCACTAATCCATCTGTAACTGATTCAAATGACATCTGCCATCTTGCGCAATCAGTGGTTATATAGTAGCCCTGAATTTTGCCGAAACTCAATGGTAAAAGAGTACTGTAAGAAGTTCCGAGATACAATGCCTTTACCTCAAAAATTCAAACTTTGCGATCATCAGCCACCACAATAAAACCTGCAGATAACTTATAACATCTTAACTTTCTAAGTTAACCGCTTTTGATCTGATTTACATGCGACGAAAACACATTTCCATTACAAATTATGCAAAATCTGACATTATTACATGATTTGAAATAATTAAATAAAAAATAGTTATAAATACAACCACAATTATTGCGTCATTCTACAACAAAATTTTACAATCAGGATTTTATCCTTACTGGAAGTCCTTCCAAATAATGACACTTTTCAAACTACATCATGCACCAAGCATGAAAAGCCAGTGATAGACCCCTACATAAGCTGACCTTACGTAATGCATTTCATTCTTCAGCCTTCTAAATAAATATAGTGACAAGATAAATCAGATTAATTAAAAAATGTGGATATGCCGCCAACGCATGTTTCCCGAGTCCAAATGTGAGATTATAATGATTCTGGGCATTAAAACTCAGCAGAACCTGGAGCTCGAGGAAATGGAATTGCATCCCTTATGTTCTCTATTCCAGTTGCAAACTGTACAAGTCTCTCAAAACCCAGTCCAAATCCAGCATGAGGAACTGAAACAGACAAAATAATGGAAGAATTATCTTAGCACTCTAATCAGAGACCAGGTCAAATATCAATACCAGAATTCACAATTCGTATTGTCATAATTAAAGCTATGACATACGTGTAGTATTCTTAGTTTAGTTTTCCTTCGTCTAAAGGCAAAAGAAATGCAGTTTCAACACTCAGATACTATCACGCCCCAGGCCCACAAGCCCTTGGCGCGATGTAAGCCTGGGGACCCACAAATTGCAATGCATGGTTTGGCTCAATCCATTGCTAAAATTAACTAGTCAATGTTGGCAGTGGATTGAGCCAAACCATGTGTTGCACTCTGTGAGTCCCACGAGTTACATTGTACCTATAGGCTCGTGAGTTAAGAACGTGACAAATGGTATTAGAACAGTTATCTAGCTGAAAATGTAAAACTAAGTGCTATACGTGGTTAAGTGCTACACAGCATGAGTATAGTGGGAGCCACCTCTAGAGTCCACATTGTCTGGTGGTGATAATGGAACAGACCAATTATCATGCCGCGACGGGAACGTCACGTAATTAAGGTGCGGTGATTGTGATACCCTGAGATTTAGCTCCACATTGGATATTGATTGAGTGATCGAATGGTTTATAATGTAAGTCCAAAGAGTCAAGTGCAATATTGACTAGTCAATTTGGCAACAGATTGAGACAAACCATATGTTGCACTCCTTGGGTCCCACGGCTTACATCGCGCCAACAGGCTCATGGGTCTGGAGCATGACGATTACGACTAAATTATCAGAAATCAAAACTGGAGCATAAATATTAACAAAGCCCAAGGAGACTAAGAACTCACCTAGCCTCCTATTCATATCTAAGGACTAAATAGAAGTACATATGCTAAGGTAGCTCATGACAGTGTTTAAGAAAGGATACTTCCGTAGTTGATCATGTCACAACAAAAAAGGCAAAAGGTTGCTTTTGTGTTATAACTTCACCACTATTCTCCCGTTCTCAGACTATAAAATAAGATCAAAGCTGCTGGTTGCATAGACAATATATAACTAAGCAATCAAGATATACAACCACATATCTTCATCCTATTCATTCAAGATATACAGCCATGGAACAACGAAAATGCAACATGATTCATAGATCTCTTAGAGATATGTTAAAAGAAGCTTATATCCATGAATATGATGATTACGAATTAAAGTAGAGATTGGTTTTGTAGTTATCCTAAACTACCAGTCAAACCATGTTCCAAAGATGTTGGATGCAAAACTGAGAAAGTCACTTCTACCCCCCCCCCCCCCCAAAAAAAAAAAAAAAAAAAAACCACAAAACAAAAAAAGCCACCCACCAACCAAAAAAACAAAAAAAAAATTAAAAATAAGAAAGGTAGCATAGAGTTAAAAGAAAAAGTTCTCAACCTATCAAACACTAAATCATCTACAAATAATCACATGCAGAAGTTGATGCTGATCACCTTAGACATGTAGAAGTTATAAAATGCATAAAGGTATTAATCGTTGGGAAGAGTGTAGTAATGAACGCCTGATATATTTATTCCATAAAGAAAAAAAAGGAAAAAGCAAGGACCGCAACACTAACCAACATATAGCTTTGAGTTAACAAAGATCATGTAAACTAAAAAGGAGAAAAAGAAAAGAATGATATCGATTTCAAACCTCATATGAATGAATAATATGTTTCGTTTTATGGTAAGAATTCACATGAGTGACAAACATGTTTTACTTTAATCAAATGTCCGTATATTAAACCCCTCTTTTGCGGGTCAATGAAATGCAAGAGAATCAGTATTTCCAAACCTGAACCAAAACGTCGAAGATCCAAGTACCACCAATAGCTGTCTTTGTTGAGATTTAACTCCTCCAAACGACTTTCTAGATATTCAAGACGTTCTTCTCGTTGGCTTCCACCAATAAGCTCACCAACCTGCAAAAAAAATTATCAAGGGGCTGAAGATAGTCAATATCATCCAAATGAAATGGGATTATCAGAATACCTTGAGAAATCGTCTAAACATATCTTTATTATGATTTACTGCACAGATTTTCAGTGCACTAATGTAACCATTTAATGGCAGTAAAACTTGTGTGGGCTCTCATTAGATCCTCCTTTATCAGAAGTACAAATTTTCAGTGCTAGTGGCAGCACTGACTATTCAACTGAAGTACTTGTGCTTTTCAAAGTGTGTTAAACTTCAGAATTTGATACTCTTTAAGACAAAGTTATAACCATACGACAAAATTGAAGGTATTGAATTTTAAGAAGTTGCTATCACTCGCCAACAACGTAATGTAGGGAAGAAGTTGCTATGACTTACCCGAGGAACCAGCAGATCCATCGCAGCAACTGTCTTCCCATCATCATTTTGACGCATATAAAAAGCTTTTATTTCCTGAAAAGCTTATCATATATTAGATATAAAATTTTAGTCATATTACTATTGCCCTAAAAAATCATATGGGCTAGATGTAAGCATACCTTCGGATAATCTCTGATTATTACGGGGCGTCCAGCAAACACATCTTCGGTTATGTACCTTTCATGCTCACTTTGCAAATCAGATCCCCATTTTACCTATTCAATTAAGAACATATGTAAAATACACATTAAGATAACTTCTTCAACCTGCGGATATATAATTTATACTAAAGACTTCAGCAGGTTTTTTCATTATCCTGAAATAATGCTATGTAATTAATGAAGCAAAATTCTAATAATCAGTCTCTATCCATTTAAATCTTCTAGACCTATAGTAGAATTTTACCACGAGAATGACCATATTTTCTGATGCCAAATTGAGTTGCACTTACAAAGAAAAGGGCAGTTGCAGAATAAGGAAGATCTCCTTTCCTTTTCCATCAGCACAGAGCTAGATTTTCCTTTTCCTTTCTTTCCCCCCACTATTGTTTCATTACATAGCTAGATAAAACACACCTAAATTTCATTCTAGGGACGGATTCAACTTCGCATGGAAGCTTCAAAAATTACATGGTTCACCTTGTTCTTGGCCTTATCATGTCTAAAGCAAATTCAAATAAACAGGATGATGTCAACATCAGAACATATTTACTTGTCACAAACATTAAAAACTGGAGAGAGAATATGCAGGAAATTGCAAGGAATACAAACATTAGAACATATTTACCGGGAATTCAAATTTCTTCTTTGCTTTAAGAAGAATCTCAACAGCATCAGAATATGTCAACTGCACAAACTCTTTCTCAACAACATCCTGTCAACAGTAGAAAATAATAAATTGACAACTATTAGAAATGAACAACCAATTCAAACTCAAAGATCAGATGCCATATTGGCTGCCCTGTTAGATTGAATTCGGTAAAATAACTAAGAGAAGTTGAGCAATGAGTCAAAGAGATTACTTTCAATCTCTCCACAATTCCTTTCTCAATCCATGTGTTAAAGAAATCCATATCTTCTTTACAGTTATCGAGGACATACTTTACCTACATAAGAATCGCAATATAACATTAAGACAAACAACTCAAGAATGAGAGAGAGGGGATGAGGGAGAAAGAGACCTTTGCACACAAAAAAAGAAGATACAGTGTGGGCCTAAGCGTAAATGATGTCAAGAGACACGAAGAGAAAACCTACTACATACTGGAGATAAGCAGTTGCACAGGCCATGTCATCATTTAGATCAGCAAAAGCAAGTTCAGGTTCTATCATCTATTACAAAGCAGAAAGAAAAATGCCAAGTGTCAGTTAAGAAAGTAATGGATCTGAAAGCAGTAATATTGACTAAGAAATTTGAAATACCCAGAATTCAGCCAAATGCCTCGAAGTGTTGGAATTCTCTGCCCTAAAAGTAGGACCAAATGTGTATACCTGAGACTCATCGGGGTTATAAACATCCAGATAGTCATCAAACTAACATATTTAGAATCAAAATCTGGAAAAGGAAAGGTAATCATACATCAGAGAGAGCAGATGCATATGTTTCTGCATTGAGCTGTCCTGATACCGTCAAAAACGCTGGTTTGCCAAAGAAGTCCTAGTATGCACAAAGAAAAGAGGTCAGTACACTTCATTAGCATTTGGAAACATAAAGAAGGTAAATAGAATACTACACATGCACACATAATGAACGGTTTATGCATGGCAATAGAAGAAGATTGCTCTTCAATTTAGCACTTCGGAAAATGCCTTCTTCAAACCTGAGATTAAACCATAGTTCTAGATAAAGCATTCACTTCTCCTTGTTACTCTTCAATAGTTTAATATAAGGGTATCATGTGTCTGAATGAGCAAGACTGAGCTACTAATGAAGCCAATAGTCGTCCAGGCATTTGACAGACTTTTATTTCTCACACACTCAAGAGTCACCTCAGTTAATTGTCATTGAGTCAAGAGAATTTCACAGCATATTGACACGTGACTGACTCAAACAAATTACAAACTTGTTATATTCCCAGTTTTCCGGATGATATGAAGTTCAGGATGTTTAAAATTTATATCTTACAGAACTAATATACCTCACACCACTTGATTTCATTATTGCTTGAGAAAGGTCACGTTTCTAATTGGTTAAAGAACAAAACAATCATACTTGGAGTAACTTGAGTAAATCAATGCATGAATGTTTCGAATATAATAGTCCACACAATAACGACAAATTCTCAGCATGCACGATCCCAGTAGCAGTATTATAGATTATATATTATATATCAATACTAAAGAAAGAAAGTAAAACGGCATAACATAGATTCTAGAAGAAATTCTAGATTAAGAAACGTGGCAACTTAGTTTCCGGTCATAATAAAAGCACAAAGAGAGTTCTGGATTCAAAAACATGCACAAGCTAACTGCACAAGCTAACAGTTGCTAACTTGCTATGAAAATGACATGTTATACAATCATTATATTAATATATATCAACATTGTTGTATTTCATAACTAAACTACATATCCTTATACAAACAAGGTTACTGTCCCAAAGGGGAAGCGTGCACTTTAAAATTTTGTAACGGGTAGGCACTATGACATGAAGAGGCAAAAATGTGAAGCTTCTCAGTTTGACCAAACCTTGCTGTTTCATATATCTAAGTCTTCACGTCCTCCTATTTAGATACCAAAATTTTCCCATCCATTTAAATCATTAACAATCAATTTAAATTTTTTTTTTATAAAAATACTGAGCTTATTTTTCTGATCAATTTTGAAACATAGGAAATACTCACTTGTGAAGTACTACAAGCAAGCTTGATACAAAAAATATATTGATTCTGATGAAGAAATAAAGGTTATAAGAAAAGAGAAATAAACTCACCTGTGACCAGTCGATTTTGCCATCCTTTGTAGCAGGAATTGTATTACTAGGACAATCAGTACTTTCCCGAGTGCTTGGAATCTATAAAATCATAAGCAATAAGGGAGTCAGACAAAAATATCAGATTTATAATTATTGCTACAACTTTGGTTTCTCTTAATAATGCTATCCAACTAGGTATATAAGAGAGAGTTATTTTGGTGCAGAATCAAACTGGTCATATTCTCTCTTTTCCATCTTGCCAATAATAACATTCTATAAGACAAAAGAACAAATATGCAAGAAATTATATAGAAGATGATCCACTTGCATCAAATCCATTTGCCTTAAACCCGTGCCTTTTTTGCAGAAACCAAAACAATGATAAGTTGATCATGCAAAATTGGTATCCTGTCCTCTAGACAACTAGGGATTAGAATGAAGAAGATAAAAAGATAAGTTAGATTAATACAGAGATTAGCAGGGAAGGAGAATGCTGGTGGAGAAGTTGTCATATGAAAGAGAAGGGACAGATATGAACTTGTTAGAACAGGAATTATGTTTAAGAGGTCTGACAGTTCCACAATCAAAGGCACTATAAGGTCATAAGAGATATGGGTTCAATAGATACCTAAATCCACATCAACAGCAGGTAAACTTCTAAACCCAGTAAAACACCAAGTCAATTACACATGCAAGTGAGACATGTTTCTTTCAATTGCTAACTAGAGTATACTATCAATCATTGGAAGAAAACCCAAGTAGAAGAAATTATTTATTAACCCTAAATGCTTCTGATGTGCACCACCAGTGCAAGAAATGAACAGATGGCCTGGAGACACAAATATATTAAACTGGTATATAAGCCATACAGAATAAGCTGTGAAAATGAGATCAAAACCTAGTCATTGTTTTGTTTTCTGCAGTGAAGTATAATGATGTAATTAAACGACTATTCAATGAAATGATAACTTCTACTGAAAGCAGATGTCTATATTTGTTACATATAGTAAAAAAGAAGTTGTAGGAAGCAATGGATATATTATCATTCTTACCAGAGTAGTGACGCAAAATTGTTCACCAGCTCCTTCGCAATCTGAGGCGGTAATAATTGGGCTTGAAATCCAAACAAACCCGTTTTCCTGGAAAAATTTGTGAGTTGCATATGCCAATGCATTCCTCACTCTTGTAACCTACAGCAAGCATCCATTAGACAAACATCACACAACATGTATTGGATCAACAACTTCTTTACTCAGATGAAAATGAGCCCCACGTGCAAGTAGAAACAGAAAAACAAAAATACCAGCTTAAGGCATTGGCCTATTTTAAGAACATATAATTTTTCACTGAGATAAGTAAGAGAATGGATCTTCAAGCATTATCATTTAGTTTATTAATGTCATTCTTTTGAGAATTTCACAGAATAAGTTAAAAGTTCACCAAGCTGTTGCTCAGGACTACTTCCCAGTGACTCCCTGTGAGCATAACTAAGATGTTCTTAGATGTATCGATGAAATTATTGTATCATTACTTCAAGACATGCTTCGACTTTCAAATATCCCTTGATACAAATCTCGAACTTTGAGTTTGATTGTTCATGCAATGTCCAAGGCAGATTACTTTTGATGCAGAACCAAAAGAATTAATAAATAAAGATTGATACCCTATTGCTTGATTTAATGTTTATCATTTGCAAACAATCAACTTTTACAAATTATCTTAAAAAGTGTTCTGGTTAATGGATCAAAAGGTCATGGATATTCAGTTGCGATTTAGAAACTTAACAAATAAATCTTTTTTTGTAAGTAACTAGGAGGATATAATCTGTCAAGCTAAATGAAGGATCATAACAACCTTATCTCGCAAAAAGTAAGATCATACCGCACCAAATGTATTTGTCCGAGGACGCAGATGAGCAATGGTTCTCAAAAATTCTCTGCTTGCTCTCTTCTTCTGGATAGGATAACTGGATGGGTCACTCGTACCAATCTGTAAAAGATAAAACAAAACACAAAAGGTTTAAGTGAACTTTATTACATAAAGTCCTCAGTCCAATGACAAATGCAGAAAAGTATCCATGAATTATAAAATCAAATTTCAGAAGAAGGACATCCTTAAGTGTTAGCAACAACAAATGGTTCAGCTCATTAATTAGGGCTAATATACAACTGCCTCAAATCCCTTGACAACTTTTCTGCTTAAGCTGCCAAAAAGAGAGGATTTTCGTCATATGAACATCAAGACATTATCACTTTTAGCATTGGAAACTCCATCTAGTACATAAGTCAAGCACATAAGAGGGAATAGACAGCGCAAGTTTCATATTAACTGACAAGAAAAGATAAAACACAAAAATAGGAAAAATGATGCGGGTTTTTGTGCAACATGAAAGTTTAAAAAGAAGAAGCTGACAAAATATATGGAGATCAAGCGAACATTTCTAGAAGCATAATATGTTTTACAGTGTTGTGCAGGTTATTATGCTGCACATGCATAAAAACATTTTAGATCATAACACTGGTTTCATTCTAGTATTTATATGCAGCAATAATAATTCGGAAGTGCGGCTTGTAGCATAGAGATGTATCTTAAGTTCACATAGAACATGCAAATATATTTCTCAAAACTTTTTGATAATGCAACCTTCCGTTGTTGTGTTCATTTGATCATTAAGGTGCAACGTATTTTCCCTCTTCCTAACTTATACGTTCGCTATTAACAACTGCAAGTAGTAACAAGCCAGGAATAGTTTTAGTACCATCTGTAGTCTTTCCACCTTCAGCTCCACTTTCTGTTTAGATCCTTGACTGCTCACAATAGTTCCGTCCACAAGTATAGACGAGCCAGTAGCAACAGTACCAGCTTCTACCTACCGACAAAGCAGCAATAGTAAAAAAAAATTGAGCTATAAGTGCATGTAAGCGAACACCCTTAACATGAGTGACTGGATTCTCAAAACTCCACTTGTTTGCTAAGCATTTCTTTGTTCTAGCACCAATTTACCCCCAAATTATCCGTCTGATGATTTTGATTCAAAGAATACCTGATCATAGCCCTCGGCGTCCGAGCTCATTACGCATTGCATATTCGACAAGCAAGATCCATCATTTACCTACGACATTAACAAATGCGTGATTAAATAATGCTTTATCCAACCCAAAATCAACTTCATTTGTTACCTCGATGAAGGTGACGCTGCTCTGAGCCCTGCAGGTCCGAACCCAGCCTCGAACCGTGAGCTTCTGCCCTAGCCGGTCCAAGCCCTCGTCAGGGCCGCCCTTGACTTCCGAGATCCTCAGACGCTTCTTGAACTCTCGAACTTTCTCGACGGCGACGTCGCTGGTTTTGACTTCGGCGGTGGCTAGGGTTTTGGTGCAGAGGAAACGGTGTTTGCGAGGGGGGGATGGAGGCGGGACCCACCGGAGGCGGTGCAGGCGACGAAGGAGGGGGAGGAGGGAGGTGGAGATGGGGCGGACAAGGGAGGAGGAGGAGGCGGTGGCGAGAGAGGCCGCGGCCGCTATCATTTTTCTTTTTTTCTTTTTCTTTTTTCCAGTTTCTCTTTTTTTGAGGGAGGGGAGGTATTATCTCTTGGGCGCGTGAGGTACGCGCGCGTGAGTTGCACGCGATGCTAGAAAAGACTAAAAAAATGTTTTTTTTCCCCAGTTTTTCCTTACTTTTTTTTTCTTCTTTTTTTTTTTGCCCCTGAAATAAATTGTTTAATGAGTAATTAGGAAAATTGTTAAGAATCTCAAATTAAAATTCATTTATTACACGGAGATATTTTTAGCGAATCATATGCTGTAATTGCGTGAAAAATATATATTTTATGCTACGAAAGTATCCCAGAAATGGTGAATTTGTTATTATTTTTTATACTTTTTTTAATAACGTAATTCTGACTTAAACTCGAGAATGTGACCCTCATATTGAAACCTACTAAATGTCTGGATCACTTGCGATGGGTAACAATTTTTATTTGATGTAAGTGAATTATATTCTGCATATGATGAATATCGCTTAAAAAATACGATAGTGCGTATATTGTTTCTTGACAAAATGAGTTGATGGGGCTTTCTATAGCTCATGTTTGTAACCTTTAATTATTCTTTGTTTAAG